GGGATTGCCACTGCCTGCAGGAAAATGGAGTCACAGGGAATGAGTTGATGTTTCTGAGATGGAGCTAGGGTCCTCAGGATAGCTGGAGACAGTAGAAATAATTCCATGCTGCTATACTGCTGTACAAGAGCTTGTTTGAAATCTACATATCTGACTGGCAGTCAGGTGCCTATTGTGTAACCTCTTACGTAGTGTTTGAAAATGTAAGTTAAATAAGGCAGGGTAAAAAAGATTTTATCCTGCAAGGACTCTACAAATGAAAGAGTCTCATAGGAAACACTGACAGGTCCTAGATATAGTCCTTAGGGCTTACACTGCTAAATTCTGTATGTAATACATGCTCACACTCTGCTGTTTTCTAAGGAGAACTGAAACACATACAGGTTTTTAGCCCCTTTGGGCAAGTGGTGTCACTCTAATGCTTCCTGTATATTTCTCAGAGATAACATCCTACTACACTATGCTGCATTTCCTCTGGATTGCCTGTATGTAAATAAAACCATCAGCACCAAGGAAGAAACAGATGTATCAGCCAAATACTGTTTTCTTCTCCAAGTTCTGGAAAAAGTTGTTTTATATGAATAAATATTAATCTGATTATTACTTTAAGATTATTTATTTCATCTCAGATCTGTAAGCTTATGTAAGAGTGTGTTTAAGATCCATTGCTGACTGCTTTTTTTCTGCACGCAACCATGTTTTGCAAAAAGAAATAATGAAATTCTCATCATTGTTCCTATTAAAGTGGACGTTGAAGGTTTGGTTTCATCTGTTGAAACTGTTATTGACATTACCTTAAGGCCACACACCACTGGTAGTTTGCTTACAGATCCCACAAAAACAGTACAAGCACATTTTTAAACTGGTGGCTTCTCACACCACTGGTTTTCTCTTCTAAACGTAAGACTAAACTCTGATGAAAGGGATGTACATGTGCAGTTGCTAGAAAAGAGCTCACATCTGGACAAAGCAATGGACCTGTGCCCATAGATTTCTTCCAGGTGCCAGTAAATGCACCAGTCTATGTGTATTTTTCTTATAGAGTTACTACCATACCATTTTTCATAAATCAAAATACGTATGAATCCTGTCCCTAAATCAATCAGCTATAATTTTCAGCCCCAATAGTGGCACAGTGTAATAGATACAATTTGTTGCCAATCTAATTTCTTGATCACAGTTGACTGTCTTGGACAATGCTGTGAGTCGTAACAAAACAAAGCATTTCTATTTCATAGTAATGCCATGGTACTTTACTGACAGTGAAGATTGTTGCTGAGAATCCCGATTATAAAACTGACTTCATACAGTTCCATCCTAGGATATGTTTTTCAAGTTATAATTATCTACTCATGCATTCATTCAACAAGAACTTTGTCTTCACATGAAAAGATATATTATTATACAGTTTAAAATAAAATGTGGAACTGCATCCATGTATTTTAGTTTTTCTTGCAATGCCAGAATAAACACAGACATGCTAGCTCTCGAGAGGAAGCACAGATTAAAAATGTGTGTTATGAAATGTATTTCATGTGAATAGATGTCAAAATGTGACACAGTTTCACCCCTTGACTAAGCTAAAGAATTCATTTAACATATTAAAATGAAACTAGATAGATTTCAATGGGTAAAATATTAGCAGAGTATGAAATTCAGATTATTATTACCTGCTATCCTACAGAGACTGTCTTGTTTTCTACTTCAACCCACCATCCATCCTGCTCACTTTTAAAAATCATATAGTTTGAGAAATCTATACTGGAGTGGCAGATATAGCCTGCACATGCGTTTGGGTGAGCTAGTAATGCAGAGCTGTTAAATCAAGAGAGCAAATCTTAGGAGCAACACTGCGCATTACAACCTCTGCATCACGCAGCCCAGTGCCGTGACTGCAGGGATACTGCAGGGTGAGAGCACACCAAAGGTACAGTACAGCCCTGTTTACAAGCTCTTCACAGTACTTGGATAATAAAAATTATGGTTAGATAGAAAGGAAAAAGAAAACATTGTTACCCTGTGCCGACATTTCCTACAGCAGTGTTTTCTTTCAAGGATAAGCAGAATGTGATGTACTTTTTAAAGAAAAGGAGAAAGAGCTAAGACATCTGCACACATACAGCAGGTAGCTTATTTGGGAGTTCTCTACCTGTGCATGGAAAAGACAAACATAAGTGCTTACAGTAGAAGCCCCATTTTGGAAGCATTTTCCACCAGAAGGAAGTATGTCACAATACTATCTCATGGACACTAACCCCACATATGACATGTGAAGAAGCTAGAGAAAAGTTTGATAATAGGAAAGCATACTGAGTGTAGCTGTTCCCTTCATGAACCTGAATCCCATTCAATCTATTAGGTAAGGGCACAGATAGTTAAAAAATAGCACTTACTGGAGACTCAGGTGCTCAGCTTGCTCAACAGTGATAGAGGAGAAACTCTCTAGCCAGCGGCCATTTATGCCTTCCTCCTGATTTACTTACTGAAATGTTTTTCCCCACCGATTAAGGTAGTTAGGCATGGTTTTCCATGCACCTGCTTTGGGGACTTGCACAGCCCTGTAACCAGTTCAGCTGCACAGGGGAAGGCTACAGGAAACTTGGGTTTCACTGTATAAATTTTTTAAGCATTCATTGGGGTTAGTGGCATCAGACTACATTCTAAGAGAGAACGAGGCCAAACAATGGTTTCTAAAAGATAGGAGTATTTAGGAAGAACAGACTTCTTCTTTACAAAGAGGAAATGATAGAGACAGAAACTGCTTTCTGCTGGGAAAAAATGTACCACATATGCAAAACTGGAAGATGCCTAGGGGAAAAGACAAAGTTGATATCAACGTGAGTGGCATCTTGGGGAAAACCCCAGCTGACAGAAGGAGGCTGCATAGAGGGAAGAGTGCTGGGAACTACTAGACGACTGACTGGCACATATGTGGTTTCTGGTGATTAAAATAAGCCATTTAAAAACAGACCTGCTTGAAAAGCAAAAAAGTAAATTACATTATACTGGATGGAGCAGCTACCAGATGGTCCAGTTACCAGAAGCTACTAGATTTTGTCTGGGGGGGAGGGTGTTGTTGGTTTTGTGGGGTATTTTAATACACACATGCGCTCACACGAGCAAACGCTCATGGGCCAAACTGGACTGTAAAAGCCATCTGGCACTGCCTGTGTAAGTTTACTACATTGCTAAACCTCATTCTCTGTGACATTATTTATGGTTAGAGGACTAATTCCAGTTTCAGCCAGGCAACTAGGCTGCAGTCTGGAGCTCGAAAATCAGAGGGCATGGAAAAAAAGCAGTGAGCCATAGGGTGGATTCTCAGCTGTGAAGAGACAATTTCCAAAAGGAAAATGAACTTCACTTTCTCTATTCCTAACATGAGTAATGGGATGGTAAAAAGAAAATTCCCCTCATTCTTTGCTATAATTCAAGACCTGTAAAAACCTCCCCCCACCCTTTACACACAGCCGGGCTCCACAATCCTTTTCCAACCAGGATTTATTTTTTTACAGTCACACATTGCTTTTGTCTGTCTTCTCCAATTCCTGTCCTTCAGGACTTCATAGCATTTGGTAAGTTTCTGTTCTCCATTCACTCATCTTCTTCCAGCCCAATTCCACTTCCCTGCTCTGGCATATTAAGGGGGTTGTGATCATCTCCAGATGTATCCAAAAAATCATAGAATCATAGAACGGTTGGGGTTGGAAGAGACCTTAATGACCTACCACCATGCACAAATGGCATCTCTCACCACAAAGCATTTATAAAATACACTTATATCACTCACTATATTACATCTCCTGTACATCTTTTTCTTAACGTCTAAGGAAGAAGTTTAACAATGTTGGCTTGAAATGAAAGGCTTCAGTAACAACAATAAGATCCTAAAGGATCTTATTCTGGTAGTAACTGGGCATTATTTTTATAGAACAATCAAGGCATTCAAAAGAAAGCTGAACTTTCACTGATGAAAGAATCTATCATTGTACTAGAGACAATGTCCTTGCCATGGGGTCTAATTTGGCAAGTGGCTCAATACAGTCAGAATTCAGTTTAGTTTCATTAAATACTCCCCTTGGCTGCAATGCAGAACTGGAGGGGGAAAGGGGGCTGTGTAGAGAAGGAGAAATAAACAGATCTACGAATGTGCAGCAGCAATCTGTATAGAGTTAATTTTCTAGCATATTAAAAGCTACTGTATCATGTATGTTAGGTACCTCTTCCCTCCCAGCTGAGACTGGGATATAAGGATGCAACAACAGTGTTTCAACACTGTTCCTAGACCAAAGTCCACAATCCAAAATAAGACTTAACACAGGGTACAAACATAGCCCAGAGTAAACACTTGACCCATATTTACCTTACAGTCCCTAAAATTCACTCGCAAAGCTTTGAGTTTTGTGAATGTGAACTAGCTCTGATCTACAGAGCATCTTGACAAAGCTTAAAGCACTGCACTTAACATCCAGGCTACTAACATACACCTGTAAGGGCAGAGAGGCCCAGGTTTATTGAATTTATCTATTTAGACTTGTCTTTCTGTACTTCAAGAAAATTGAAGTCACTTAAATTGTGGCTGAGGGCATTTACACAGGGACTGGATGTGGTTCAGTTTGTTTTCAATATTCTGAGATGAAAATTTAGAACTCTGAATTAGAAGGTAATGAAATTTAAAATACAACAGGAAAAATACTTGAGAAGGCAATAGTGGAAGTTGCAGGCTCCCTTGGGTAAGGCTGCTAATACTTTGTAACCAATTCAACCCAAAATGTTCCTAGGAGAGTAGCAAGTCAGGGAAAATACTATAAAGAACCAATAACTCATTCTAAAATTAATTCAAGTCACAGATAAAACCCAGAAACGCTCTGATCACAAAAGATGACACCTGCAATGCTTCTTAGCTATTTTCCCCACAGAAACACTCATGAAAAGTAAACCAAATAAACTAATGTGAAAGCTAGGATAGTTCACTGTGATTTTCATAATCCCTTTTCCTCTCTCCCCCATCTTAAATGCAGATCTTATGCTTGAAAACACTGTTGAGGAGGTTGATCCAAAGAGATTCAGCCCAATTCTCTGCAGAGGTCAGGGCCAATAGCTCCACGCCACCTCTGCTTACTGGCCATACATTTCAGACTAACTTCTACATGCAGAAGTATCAGTACTTTCATTATAGTCATTTGATTGATTATAATCAGGCTGTCAGAGTTTCATTTTACAGTTGTAGAAACACTAAGCTCCTGTTATGATAATTCTGTGGAATTTATAGAGAAAGATCCATCCCCCAAGGACATGTGTATCTCTCCACCAAATGTTAGGGCAGACCTCTGAACTCTACGGGACAACCTGAAACCTGCAAAGGCTTTACACGTACCTACCATGCCTTTAATGGAATTTCACTGATTAAAGATAGCTCTTATAAACTTCTTGCTATAGGACTAGAAGATGACAAATATATTTATTTCCCCTAATTCCCAAGAAGCTGTGTACAAAAACATTCATGAGTCAGACCAGAATTTTTCATCCCTTTCCTAATTGCATTGCAAACAAAAGATAGGCTGAAGGTCTCACTTCTTCTACATGTAATAACCATGCTACTTTGAAACAGTTGCACTGTAAAAGTACATCTTGTATCACATTTGGTGCATTTTAATGACTTCTGGTTCATCTGAACTCAGATGGCAAATGCATCTTTGCTGATGGTATTGTTGCAGATAGATCACACAAACTAACAGGCATTCCTTCAGATTTAAGTGTTGGACAAAACTAACCACTGCGGTGCATAGCTACATATCATTGTCAAGCCATACCAAAAGACGAGATCTGTGAGGCTCTCCCCAGGGAGGACGTAACCAGATGGAGCACTGCATGCTCTGTTCCTCTGCTCCTGGAATCCCAGGTTACTCAGTATCTCACCTCCTATTTACAACCAAGTTCTCCCACTAAAAGAAAATACATACATGCAGTTACCCCTACTTTTCTGCAGGCTCCTGCCTTGCCTTCTCTACTTGCAGGGCATTTTCTGGAAAGGGAAGAAAGGGTTAAAAGAAAAACAGCCTAATCTCTACACACACATTTGTCACCTTCCCCAAAATAGCTGCAGAATTTGAACACAGTATGCCATTTTCTTCCCTGACAGGTTAATCCGTTTATTATTCATCCATTTAATGAAAATACTGTGCCTCTACACTAAGAACAAAACAAAACCTCCATCAACACTGGTTCTCTTTAAATCATATTCATAATCTTCCACAATTTGATTTGTCTTTGAATTCAGCCTTATTTTTTTAACTATAAATTCAAAGCAGGAAACCTGTTTCTTCAGATTTCACATTGTTGCCTCTAGCCATGTTTATGGAATGTTTTCTGGGTTTTGCAAAATTATCAGCATTTCATTACCTGCTTCTGCAACAGCCATGTATCTACTGTGAAAAGGTCACCCAGAAGTTAATGAACCTCATGCTTAGCCAAACTGCTCTGCTCCTGTGGGACAGAAATTGTCATGAAACTCTGCAAGGCTCATCTTGCAAAGTTTCCTGAATATGCTCCAAAAAAAGAATAGTTAGAAAGTCATGGTGCAAATCTATCCTCTTTTCACAGGCAACTGGCTCCATTAAGATCTCTGCAAAAACATGGGGCTCAAGTTCTCAATGGCACAATTTCCAAAGGAAAACTACTGCAGTGCTTTCAACCTGTCACAGAAGTATTAGGGCCATGTAGCTACACATAACAATCATATTCCCTTCCAGGTTTTAATTCTAAAGAATTTCCTGTCTCTCCTGGAAGCACCTCTTTTGATGCACTAGATACTTTTTTTCTCTCAGATTCATCACATTAGAAGACTGAATCCATTCAGGTGGTATGCCTAGATTTTTCTCTTCCTCAGGCCTTTCCTCATGATAACTATGTTGAGTACAGAAGAATTATATATTTCATTTTGAACTACCGAATTTCACCCAAGTCGTCTTACTCCAGTCCTTCCATCTTATATCCTAGCCTTTTTCTGCATGAACAGTGCCTCCTAACTCCAGCCAGCCAGCATGCTCCCCTGTGTTACAAAGGAAGTGCTAACAAAGACATAAAATAGGAAAAGCCCCATGAACAATATTTGAGTCTCTCTCTGATATTTCCTTTCCCAGCACTGACGACTGTTGCCATGTTTTCTGCTTTCCAGTTCCTTCAGGCAGCCTCTACCCCAGCAGCTTCCACTTTGGGACCATACCTAAAGTCTGCTCTTACCAAGGAGAGACATCAGAGAAGTCCAGCATAATCTACTCTTCGTGAGCCTGTGCTGTTGTACCCCACTTTGCCTTTCTTAGGTCTGAACATCAGAAAAAAATCTGTGGCCATTTAATTGCACGTTAATTGGAGCTCACAACATCCTGAAACACTTTTGTGGACCCTGGACGTGGTCTCAAAAGTGACACACTGCAGTTAGCTAGATTTTTAATCTGACCTACTACTTAGGCAGAATAACTGCATGAAGATGCAGGAAAAAGGTGACTGGATGGTTATTGTTGTGTAATTCTTTTGAGGGAATGTTCTTGCATCAGGGAATACATTCAAAAGGAAAACATAAAAAAAAAGGGGGGGGGAATAAAAGGAAAAAATGTGTAAAAGACAAGGGCAGTTGTTCTGTAGTTGTTCTGCTTTGCACTACAGGCAAATCACTCCAACAAGAAAAGGGATATTTTGTCTTTTTATTCTTAGAGGAAATCATTACAGCATTAAATGTCTGTAGGCGAAGCAGAAATAGAGCAGGACTTGAATTTAAGGGATGTTAATTCGACTGAATGCAAACTCTGCTAGATTCTGTGGTCTCTGGATCTCATTCACTGATAACCAAGAGGTGCTAGTTCAAGTGAACTGTGTTTTCCACCTACATCAGCCTCTTAGTTCAAACAATGCCATTCCCAATTGAAAGAAACTATGTTGTCTAATGTTGTGAGCTCATGATTAGGAGTGGGGGTTTCCCAAATACATAAATCAGATTAACAGCAAGGTAAAAAATTAATGGGACTATATTGTGAGGGGGGAGAAACCCAAAGAAGTTTGTAGAAGCTGTAAAAACTTCTGGCAACCACTAGAAAAAGTCTAGGCAACCCCAAACTACTGAAAGGTTAAAGATCTGCGATATGCCTCACTGGCCTAGAGATGTTAACCTCACCTCTTATATGTCCCATAAGTGCCCTTTCCAGTTACTGATTATTCTTGGCTCTGAAAAAAAGTCTTCATCTTTCCTTTGAGATGTCCTGGTTTCACCCAAGTACAAAACAGGAAAGGAATTTGGGGTTAGAAAACAGTTCCTTCTCTAGCTGCATTACCAAATCCTAATCCCCACCCTTAAGAAGGCCTCCTCCCTGGGGCTTCAGCCATGGTCACCTTTTCCATGTTTTCCCCAACAGTACTATGAGATAGTTCTGTGAGATAACAGCTCACAGAGCTACTGAAGGTTAACTGTTGTTCAAAGCACTCCTTGGAAATTAATAGTATGTGCAGAGGTATAACTCTCAGGACCAGGACTTGTAGAGGCACAACAGGGGTTGACCAGGTTCGAGCCTTAAGGCACTGCAGCAGTCCATGTGCACACCACCACCACTCAGGCTGGAAGGGACCTCCAGAGGGCTCTGGTCCAACCTGCTTATCAGAGCTGGGTCAGCTGTGAGATCAGACTGGGTTGCTCAGGGATTTTTCTAGCTGGGTCTCAAAAACCTCTGAGGACAGAGACTGCAGAAACCCTCCAGCCAAAATGTGTATTTTAAAACATCTGTTGTTCAAGTGCTGCCTCAGAACAGCAGTTTTTTCAGGCCTGAATATCCCACTGGTTTTAAGTCAGCAACTGTTCCTACTTATCTGTCTTGACAGAAGTCATCACCATGGCATTGAAGCACCTGGAAAAATTGCCTAAGGGACAATATGGAAATTGCAAGGCAGCTCCCAGCACAGCTATGAGGACTCGAGGACAACACAGTGCCCAGTGTGTCTGCAGGCTGCCAGGAGCTAACCACATGCTCTTATTTCACCCAAAACCTGCGTGACTCCACTCCAGCATGAAACCTCCAGCTGCCTGCCTGCAGTGAAAGCAGACAGCGCTTCCCAAGCTGTCAGCAGATGCACAGGTACCATCAGAAATTATGAGCAGCAGCACAGAAATACACCTGGGCGTAGGTGGAGCAATGAGGCAGGTCATAAACAAAGTAGATGAGGTTCTTAAAAACAGCAGCTCTCTTTGAGAAGTTATGCTTGAAGATGTAATGACCCTCACTTTTTATGTTTATTCCTGAGATTACACAAACTCCACACAACCATCACTGTATTTCCTTAAGTGAACAAAAATAATGTTTCATACTCTGTTTTTTTGACCAACAGATATAATGAACCTGTGCAGGTTCATTTGTTCTGGGGGACTGCATGCCCTTAGCGTAATTATTTAACTTAGCTGTAACTTACTTAATTTCCTACTAATCCTCAACAAATTTCCTCAGTACAGACTGTATTGAAATAGCAGATTATACGTATTAATAGGCCAGAGCAAATGGCAGTTAAACAATGAAACATTTTTTTTCTTGCCACTGCCAATAGGCAAGCGACCAACAAGGCATTTTAGCTTGCTTGTGTACCTCAGACAGCAAGGCTAAAATCAAAATACCTGTTGTGAAAATACATATGCCTCTCCCAATTTTAAAGAGAAATTCAAATTTCCCACAAAGCTTAGGAAAAAAAAAAGTCACTATTCATTCATTTTCCTATGAAACCATGGACTGCTGTGCATTTTGGTATGCAAAAGAGGTCTCAGAATGGAGCAGGTAGGGGGCATGTCAATACTGAACTATACTGAAACAGCCTTAGATACAATTGCTTTGCAACACTGGCACTTACACAGCAGAGAGCCCAAGGACTTGCTGACTTTGGATATGTTTTTGGCCAATTGTTCCACAAGGAAAGGACATTAGATTGCTTAGATCTAATAACAACAGGCATGGAAATACCTGTATTTTTTTTCTTATTCTGTTTGCAAGATTCACTTGAAATATTAGTAAGTGATATTAGGCCCCGATGCTAGAACATGCTAGTTTATGAGGTCTGAGTACTGGCGTGTTAAGTAATGTCTATGGCTCATAGTAAAAGATATGATACACACAGCTCCATTTATATGGCTCCGTTTTGAGTTGTGGGAGTTTCTGAGAGATGGGGATGGGAAAGGAACGAGCATGACTTGTAAAGCAGTAGGCTTTCCAAGTTTTGCTTTTAAAAATACTTTGATGACTAAGTAAGCGTTTAAATATTAAGAAAGATTTGGAATGAGATTTCACCCAGCTCCCGGTCAGAATACCCGACGCAAAGCAGAAACAGCTACTTGAATAAAGAGTTTGTGTTGTGCAAGCAGAACTTTTCAGACCAGATGAAAAGTAGAGATTGCCACCTGCTGACCAAACGGAGGGTAGCAACGAGGACGAGGAAAACAAGCACTTGCTGTGAATTCCAGGTTCTGCCGAAACTGCGGGAATTCTGCGCTGTTTTCAGCAGAGCCCTCATCCCACCCTTGCTCTTAATTTTTGTCGCCAGCCAAACCAAGAAGTGTACTCATAAAGCCCCAAAGCTGTCTACTCTGTGTGCAGAAGGAAACAGCTTGACAGAACAATAGAGATATTCAGGCAGAAGGTCCCTGGTTCTGTTGGCTTCAGCTGATGAGCTCATATTATCATAGAATCACAGAGAATCTAAGCATCTGTCCTAGGTTCAGCAGTAGCAGTCATTTTTGTCCTTCTTGGTAGCTGGTGCAGCGCTGTGTTTTGACTTTCAGCCTGCGAACAGAGCTGGTAACAGTTATGTTTTTGTCTGACCAAGGACTTTCTGAGCCTTATGCTCTGCCAGGGAGGCGGGGAAGACGGAAGGAGAGACAGGACACCTGACCCAAACTGACCAAAGAGGTATTCCATACCACAGCACATCATGCCCAGGATGTAACAGACAGTGACCTGGAAGGGCTAGTTAACTGCAGGGTTGGATGAGATATCCGTCAGTGCCTGGTCAGGCTGGGGGGGCGAGTTATCGTTTGGCAGGTCCTGAGGTGTTGTATTCTCTTCCCTTGTTATTTCCTTTATCATTATTATTATTGGTGGCAGCAGTAGTGATTTGTGTTATACCTTAGTTACTAAACTGTTCTTATCTCAACCTGGGGGAGTTACATTCTTTTGATTCTCCTTCCCATCCCTCCAGGAGCAGGGGGAGGGAAAGAAGGGGGGGGGGGGGGGGGAGTGAGTGAACGAGCTGCCTGACTGGTCTTAAACCACGACAGCATCATACCATGGAATTAAAGATCACCCTACTCCAACCCTCCTGCCATGGACAGGGACATCTTAGATAAGGTTGCTCAAAGCCCCAGCCAACTTGAACTCTTCCAGGGATGGGGCATCGACAACTTCTCCGAGAAACTGGTTCCAAAATCTCACCATCCTCATTGTAAAAAAATTCTGTCTTATGTCTAAGTCTCACGTCTTTCAGTTTAAAGCCATTGTCCCTTTTCCTGATGCTACAGGCCTTGGCAAAAAGTCTTTCTCTGTCTTTCTTACAAGCCTCCTTCATATGTTGAAAGGCTATACTAAGGTCTCCCCAGAGCCTTCTCTTCCCCAGGCTGGCCTCCAACACTCTCAAACTTTATCCAAAGAAGAGATGTTCCTCTGACCATTTCCATTGCCCTTCTCTAACAGGTCCATGTCTGTCTTGTACTGGGACCCCAGACCTTGATGTAGTTCTCCAGGTGGGGTCTCACGAAAGTGAGGGAAAAGGGGAAAACCGACTTCCTTGATGCTCTTTTAATGCAGCCCAGGATACTTGGCTGTCTGGACTGCAAGAGCACGTTGCTGGCTCATGTCCAATCTTTCATCTGACAATTGATCAAACGAGGAGGAACATCTGATCAATAGGATTCCGCAGCACCCCGAGAGCCCCATAGGAGATGACTGGTGGAGACAGGAGACAGCACTGGATCACAGTCAGGGGCATGTTGCTGCTCTCTCAGACAAGTGTGGAGGCTCCTCACCACACCAGAAAGAGGGCTACAAATGCACTTGGCATTGCTGAAGCACCAGGAAATGCATGGCCTGAAATGCACTGTATTTCCCAATGAATAGAGGACAAGAAGGAGGAGAAGGGGACCCACCCCCCTTTGTACTGTGAGAGATTATGACCCCTCAGGAGCTACCAGAGCATACACATAGAATGGGGACCTTAAAAATGCCTCAACAACAGAAGAAGCTTCAAACCAGAGCTCATATGCTTTTAAACACCAAACCTCATCACTTTTGGATAAATCTAGAGGAAATCAAACTATATCTGAGCAGTGCCTCTTACTTTACCAGGGAGACCAGGCATCATTTTGTGGCTATTTCCTTTCCCTACTGACATGAGAGAATAAATAATAAAGGAAATATTTGCTTTCTTTCTGCAACACCGTAGTCTATTTCAACAAGACATACATTGCAAACACCATGAGAAACATGTAAAAATATAACCCTCATATATGAATTTAAGTGTGTTCTTTTTTTTTCTCAGATTTTGGAAATGTATTTTTCATTCTGGGTTTAATTAAAGGCAAAACATGATGGTTTTTAACAAAACTGAACATCCACCCTGTGATCTATGAACTGTGAATCTGTGAACAAAACTGAACATCAGAGGTAATTGCAAGAGGACACAGGACTGAGGCCATATGAGTTTACCTGGCTCCTAGCACACAGCCAAAGGCACACAAAGAAACCTAGAGAACATCAGGAGAGAGATTACTTTTGTACAGCCCCTAATGACTTCCTTGTGTGGACCATTACTATGTCATTAGCACCTAACCTCTGCATTAAACCATGCTGAAGGAACTATGCAAAACTCCTAACTGTCCTAAGGAGTCCTTCCCTTTCCCCCACATCTCAGCAGTAGGCTCCTATAGTACGATACAGCCCTATGTGCCTGCAGCACAATGCAGTTTTGCGTGGTGCAGACACATGCCTTAAACTGATTCAATAAACTGATCCAGGCTTCTTTTCTGCAGAGAAGACAGAGATAATTTTTCAGCCTGTTCAGTTCAGTGATTTGGCCGACACCAAAGACCCAGTAGCAGTTATGTGCTGGCAGGTAAAACAGTGATGCAAATACAAGAATGGGCAGTCTGAGCTGGCATAGACTCCTTAAATTCTTTAACTCAGCTTCAGTACTCAAGTCAGAACACCATGGAACCTCAGGATCAAAAAGTTGTGGCTGGTGACCAACAATCTGGAGCAATAGCAGCAGATTTGACCAGCACTTCAATTAGGAGTGCACTGAGGTAAAGCTTATCAACAAATTCTTTCAGCAGAATGCTTTTAGACTGCATTTAAGGTAAATTGGATTGAGTTTATATCAGTTACATTAAAATACACATCTCAAATCCAAAGCAAAGTGAACTAGGCTTTGTAATGCCATGAACTTCACACATAGGCAGCACCTCTCTTAATACAAGGGAAGACCAAGGAAACTACAGCCCTATAAGTTCAACCTCAGTTACTGGAAAAGTTACAGAGAAGATTGTATCACGTACTATGAGAGGCGTTTACTGAATACTGCAGTCATCAGGCACAGGGCACAGTTATCATGGGTTCACAAAGCACAAGTCCTGTTTAACAAACTTGATAACCACCCGGCCCAGAAACCAGGCCTGGCACCTCCCTGCATAACTCAGGGACATCCACCACAGTCCCTTTTTTCATTGCAGTTACAAGTTTGAGGGAGTCTCTGCCCACTTTATCAAGACAACCCTTGGGAGCTTGCTCCTGCTGGGCCAGCATGTACTTGGTGTGATGCTCAAGTGCCTACCTGAGCCTTGAGTAGGCAGCGGCCAGCTCTACCAGCAGCACACTATAGCTGGAGAGTTGTGCTGTTGTCAAGATGCTGCTTTTCAGATTCACTGTGAGGCAGAGCCAGCAGGACAATTTCTACCTCAAAGGTCATCAGCTCTGCACGCATATCCTGGTGGTCACAGGCTTTTCCACCCATGCCTGTGACCCTGGAGGACCTGCTTTCCTCCTCTTAGTTACAAAAGGGACAAGACTTCAACACAGCCTCTGGGAGAAGACCATAACGGAACTATCATCCTGGAAAAAAACAAACAATGGCCATTGTTACAAACCAGAAGAAATGGAATTATATCGTCCCTGTTTGGAAAATCAAGATTTTAGATAGAAAAGGACTAGTTTAGATAGAAGACTAGGTGTTAGATACAGATACAGATGGCAGAAATAGATAGACTTACAATAAATAGACATGTAGAGACTGTTGGTACAGGCCGTAGTATATCTGCAGTGTTTAAAAACTGTTACTTTATGTCAAAATGAGGGAACTACAAGAGGGGGGTTAATGACAAAGCAGAAGGAAATAAATAATTGTAAAGTTTTAATGAGTTTTGCAGTCCTTTAAAAAAGATGAAAGGCCATTGGAGATTTAACAACAAAGGCAAGATAGAAAAGAAAATCAGGTGCATGTTTGTGGAGATAAGAGCAGCATGCAGCCAAATAGCACATACTTAACAAAAATTTCCACTTCATTATATTTAAAACTTGAAGAAAAACTTTGCTCTTTTACACTATCACAATATGAAGCCTAGAAGTAAAACTGTGCTTTGAGGCTTTAAATAGATTGTGTCTCCCTGGCAAGTTTAATTAGCATGCTTCTGTTTATACAAATGTGTCCATAGGGAGCTGGTTTGAAGAATGGAAGAATAAGCCTAGATAAGTATACAGAATAATTTTAGTATCCATAACTTAAGTTTCTGCCCATGAGCAAAATGATCAAAAAAACCCATAAAATTAATATTTTTAGATTATCCCAAACCCCTGTTAATTTAATACCCGATTTTCCTAGCTTGCTCATATGCTAGTGCAAATAACCATCTTCAACAGAATCACCATTACACAGAGCAGTATTTCAATAAAATGAGATTGTGAGAAGGAAGTTCTAACTGCAGCTAAACTGGAGCTAATGGGGGGGGGGGGGAAGAGAGAGAGAAAAAAGAAGAAAAGAGAGCACAAGAAATGGGAAGGGAAGGGCAATTGCTCGTTGTGTCTCAGTGAAGGGAGAGAGACTTCAAACTTCTGTTTTCTCACAACATTTAACAGTCCTGGGAAAGGACTTCAGTCTTATGGAGAGTCAAAGAAATAAATTTCCATCTATACTCGACATTCAGATTGACAGAACCATAACCACTTTAGATCATTTCCTTTGAAGCCAGCAGTCCTGGAAGGACTGGAATATTGTGTTATCAGTAATAAACACTGCAAAACATTTCACTGCATGCATCACTTGAGGGCAGCAGAGCAGTCTGAGGTCCAAGGAGTATTCCTTGTTTCTCTGGCTAGGCGCCCCAGCTACCAACCTCTGAACCTGACGCACATGCTTTCAGCAGGCCAAAAACCCCCTTGTCTCCCTGCAGCATGCAGAAGCATTTCTTTCCCTCTACAAAAAGTCTGTTGGCACGAGCTGAAAACACTGGTGTTACTGCAATGGCAAAGGACAGAGATGGAGAGTGGGTTCATGCTCAAGAGGCTTTTAGTGCAGAGAAGCACGTAAAGCTTAGGAGGATGTAAAGCTTAGGAGCACGTAAAGCTTAGGCTGAGGAGAACAGCAAGCAGAGAGCAACTGGCATGCAGTTTGTATTTTCATTCTCTAAGCCTTTCATTGTTTTTTTAAACCTGTCTTT